AACGTTTTTTTTTTTTGGGGTTTGGTTTAGGGTGCCAACCCGCGACCCGACCCGACCACCCAACCCGAAACCCGAAAATCGCCAAAAAAATGCAAAAAACCGACCCAAACCGGTCGGTTTCGTCGGGTCGGTCGGTTTTTTGCCCACCCCTACCTGAGAGCACTCATCTCAGGTTCAACTCGTTCTTCAGGGTGGTTTCTGCATGGCCCATCATCTTTACGTAGGGGCGTCAAGAAGTGTTGGGAACCCAACCTGTTGAATACATTGTTTGTTCTTCTGGCAGTTGGTTTTGTCATGGCAGGGGAACTTCTGACCTCCTCAGTTCAGTCTTTGGAAGGTTCTCCACTTGAGAAATAGAGAGTTCTTTTGGTAGGAGGTTGCCTATATCTTTCTCGTTGAGGGGATTCCACCTCTGTGTCCGGTGGTGGATTTTGAGCTTGCCTTTGCTCTAGTCGACTGACGACATTTATCAGTTTTTCGATGGCTTTCTTCATGGCCATCATTTGAGGATCGAGGGTTTCGCTACAGCCCCGTTTTTCAGTATTTATGGGGTTACTGGTTTGTTCGGGACGAGTGTGGGAGTGATTCCCAGATGCTGAAAATTCGTCCATTATGCTGGTTCATTGATTCTGTGGAGAGACATGGCTGTTTTCCAAAGTTGGGGCCCTCCTTCTAGCGCCAACTGTTGACGTTGAAATTTGGATGAACAATATTCAAGCCAACTTAATGAAATAAACGTGTATTTCTCATTGAAATGATCAAGAGTTTACAAGAATACAAGAATATAATTCAATCCCTTTTCTTTTCTAGTAATAGTAGGAAATATCTGAATTTTGAAGTATCCAGATATGCTAAGAGTTTGTGTATGCTTGTATTCCTATTTTCTTCTTTTTGTTCCGATCCCCTCTTTTAGGGCTTGGGATCTCTATTTATAGAGAAAACGTGCATGCATGCTGCACCCCCTGTCTTGTCACTGGAATTCCGAACTGAGGAAATACAGTGGTTGGTGCAGTTAGATTGGTTGCCGAGCTGAATTTTGTCAGACTTCTTCAGAGCATTAATTGAAAGTGACCCCCAACAATTAATGCATTACTTAATGGAGGATGTTAACGTTTCTGATTGGAGGATCATGTTGACGCTGATGTCAGACCTTTCCAAGTGTATCATTGTGATTGGTAACCCATATACCTTGTCAGAGATCTTCAATCATTATATTCTTCCTTGCCTTGAAAGACTACACAAGCTTCTCCCAGAAGGTACCTACATCCGAGCCGATCTTGCGTCACCGAACTCAACATATGCTCCTCTAATGACGGTGATTAATTCGACCTTAATGACCTCGTAGTTCGGTGTCAACAGTTACCGAACTCAACATGTGTTCCACTAATGACGTTGATTAATCCTAGCTTAATGACCTCTGAGGTCGGTGTCAACAAATTCGATTGTTTGCGATATCAAAAATGGGTCTCAAATTGAGACTGAAAATTCGATGCATAATGTTTCGATTGGAAATGACGATATTTCATCACTTTTGACTTCTTTTTTCATTCAACTGACTTCTAACACTTTCAAATCTTCATCATTTGGTTCGACACAACTTTTGTATATTTCCACGTTAGTCCTTGAACTTTCATTTCCTTTCACTTTGGTCAATTTTCACCTATTTCTTCCAAATTACACTATATCCATCAAATTGCCACCCAAACCAAAATATGAGATTAATAAGTACATTTTGTCAAAAAATTATCGTACGATCGTATTGAATAAAGAGAAAAAACTATGCACTTTACATTCATATCAATCAATGGTGTTGATACTAACTCAGTTAACTGGGAGTAAGGCTGATGGTAAAGAAAAACAAGTAGAAGCATATGGGTCACCATCTCAAACCAGTGGGAGATTTTTAGATAAAAAAAAGAAATTCATTATGGTATCTCCACAGGAAACAAAGAGGCTATGATAATTACCTAACTACATAAGATAGACTTCCCTTATTTTAATGGAGAAGGTCGTAGAGAATGGTTGAGGAAAGCCCAGAAATATTTCCAGATACATTTAGTAGCTACTGAAATGAGGGTGGAAATAGCTAAGATGTATTTGAAGGGGAAAGCGAACGTATGGTTTTATGGCTTCATCTTCAACCATCCCAATGCTGATTAGGACATGTTTTCAAGTGAGGTTTGTAGACGATTTGTTGAAAAACGTGTTGAGGAAGAAGACATGGAAATGGAAACTGAGGAAACTAGAGATCTGACTCTTAGTAGTGGTATTTTTTATGAAAATGAGACTGAAGTTATAATTACACCGAAGGTTGAGAAGGAAAGCAATGGGAATGTGGTTTTTTCTAGAGAAACTTAACTTGAACGACTACTGGAGTATAATGGAGATGAAGTTCTAAAGGCAAAAGCTGAAACAAAGGCTAATGCAACAGTAATTTGTGCTCCTTCCCCTTTTACAGCTAAAACTATTATGGAGGCAAGGAAGGCTGAGCTAGATTTGGCTATTTGCATTACTGAGGGAATCTCTCAACATGACATGGTCTTTATCAAGGCTGCTATCAACAACCATTCGAAAACTCAGCTCATAGGTCCAAATTGTCCGGGAATTATCAAGCATCGAGAGTGTAAGATTGGAATTATGTCTGAATACATTCACAAATCAAGACATATTGGAATTATCTCAGATCTGGCACACTAACTTATGAAGCGATTTTTCAAACTACTGCCGTCAGCCTTGGACAGTCAACATGTGTCGAAATTGGTGGGGGTAATTTCAATGGAACGGAGTTTGTTTATTGCATAGAAAAGTTCTTTGCCGATCTTCAGACAGAAAGTGGTACCAAAAAGCCCATTGGTGATTCCATTGAGAGTTGTAAGGATCACATATGGCAAGTTATAAGAACATCATCTATATCGTCATATTATCTAGTTGATTACACTGGTGGTGTATATCGTTGGCAAGATAGGGCTATTGTAGCAAATATTCCTACTAATTTTACTGTACGAGAAGCACAACTATTGTGGCCTGAAACTAAAATTGATTGCTTAGTTTCAATTGGGTGCGGGTCCATTCCAACCAAAGTACATAGGGATGGTTGGCTCTATTTAGATACTGGACAAGTTTAGATTGGGAATGCGTGTTGTGTTGACCGTGTGGAGGAAGCTTTGAGCGCATTGCTTCCTATGCTGCCTTGTGTACAGTATTTTCGATTCAGTCATGTTGATG